CCACAATCCAGCAATTCCGCTCCTAGGTATAAACCCAAAGGAAATGAAAACACACATCCATACAAAAATTAGTACATGAATGTTCATAGCAGCATAATTTATAATAGCCAATAAGGTACAAACAACCCAAATGTCCATCAACTGACAAATGGATAAATAAAATATGTTCTAGGTATATTTATAATCCCAGCACTTTTGGAGGCCAAGGCACTTGAGGTCAGGAATTCAAGACCAGTCTAGCCAACATGGTGAAACCCTGTCTCTACCAAAAATATAAAAAATTAACTGGGCATGGTGGTGTGTTCCTGTAATCCCCACTACTCAGGAGGCCAAGGCAGGAGAATCACTTGAACCTGGGAAGTGGAGGTTGCTGTGAGCCAAGATCACGCCACTGCACTCTAGCCTGGGTGACAGAGTGAAAAACCATCTCAAAAAATAAAAATAAAGTATGTTATACTCATACAATGGAATATTATTTAGCCATTTAAAGGAATGAAGTATATATGCTACAATCTGAGTACGAACCTTGAAAACATATTAAGTGGGCCAGGCGAGGTGGCTCACGCCTATAATCCCAGCACTCTGGGAGGCCCAAGCGGGCAAATCACCTGAGCCTGGCATTTGAGACCAGCCTGGCCAACATGGTGAAACTCCATCTCTACTAAAATTACAAAAATTAGCCAGGTGTGGTAGCAGGCACCTGTAATCCCAGCTATTCAGGAGGCTGAGGCAGGAGAACTGCTTGAACCCAGGAGGCGGAGGTTACAGTGAGCTGAGATCACGCCACTGCATTCCAGCCTTGGAGACAGTGAGACTCCATCTCAAGAAAAAAAAAGAAGCAGCAGCAGCCAGGCACAAAGGGCTATATAGTGTTTGATTCCATTTATACGAAATGTCTAGACAGGCAAATCCACAGAGACGAAATAGATTAGTGGCTGCCTAGGGCTGGGGAGCTTGGGGAAAGACAGGGAGGGAGTGGAGAGTGTAATATGGAATGAAGAAAACAGATCTAACATGTTTGAGGCTGGGAATATCTAAGGCTCTTCCTACACTGGCCTGGCACATGGGGTCTCAGGGGAGAAAGCCTGGGGCTGCATAGGTCACCCATCCTTCTGTCTCCAGTACAGGTTTTAGGGGCCCCTACTCCCCAGGAAACAAGGACTTTCGTTTCTCCTCCCTCCCCAAACACCCACATGGCTGCCCAGGGTGCCTAAATCTGAATCTGCCTCAAACACAGAAGTTACACCTTGACTTAGCAGTTTGGATTGGAAAGCTTTACTCTCTTGCCCACTTTTCTTTCCTTTGCATTCTACATTCTAAAATGGATTTTCAATCCCCCAGGTACCAAATCTCATGAGGCTATACCTGCTTAAATTACCTGGTTAATGATAGAACGACCTGCAAAATAAGTAACCCTTATGTTTTGAGATGGGGAAATGCTCCAAGAGAAGACAGAATCATGCCTTATTCAACCAGCACAGTCAAGCTTTCTCTGAGCCAAAGTTCTCCTGGGAAAGAAGAGTTTCCCTAAAGAAAAGAAGTAGGACAAAGTCTGGCCCAGCATCCCTTGTAGTCCCCTCTTACTCAAACTAAACACAGGCCACATTCTGAAACCAAGGCAAAAAACTGGAGTAACTGACAAGGCAGCTGGCCTTCAGCTCTTAATCCACATACCAAAGGCCCACACGACTCTGGCAGAACGCTGGGTGGGAGGCACTCACACACTCCCATCTGGGCCATTATAAGCATGCAGCTCTTTCTCCTCTTCCAGTCAGTCTCAGGCACTTCCCCGGCCAACGAAGAGGGCGTGAGGACTCCAGCAGGAGCCCAGTGTGCGTCCCCACAAGGGGACCTTTCAACACCCACCCGCAAGCACCGCCTGAGGATGAGGTCAGCCTCTCTTCGAAACAAGCCGACTTTGTAGCCAGATAGCCAACCCCCTGTGAGGCCCTAAAGCTGGAAAAGGATTGGTTTCACCCACGGGGATCTCATTCCCTATGTAGAACACCCAGCCAAACCACTTGTAAATAGGTACATTCAGGCGACAGGTATAGAAACATTTACAAGAGCCTCTGGAAGGGGCATCGGGGTTGCCCTTCCCTCTCTTCCTCCCTCTCTCTGTTCTCCGACCATAAGCCACCCTGTGCCACTGCCATCACCACCTCTACGTTCACCTCCCAAAATATCTCCCTGTTTCCAGGATGATAGCCTCTTGCTCTAGAATCTATAATGGCTTCCCACTCGCCACAGACCATGTTCATTCAAACACTTCACCTTGCCACTCCAGTTCCTGCAAGATGTGGTCATTGCACCTCCCCTCTCCTCTCAGTCCTTCTCCATGTGCCTCTCCTCCTCTCTAGTTACACAGCCTCGTAGCTAAGAACACATTCAGACCAGGTTCAAATCCCAAGTCTTGGGTGAGGTGCTTAAACCAATGTTTCAGTTTCCCCATCTGTAGGGCAGGGGTAATGATAGTACCTACTGTTCAGGTGAGTACAGGGCTGATGACGGGAGAAAATACAGGTACAGTGCTCAGAATAAAACCTGACACATGGTCTCACTCAATCATTAGCTATTAAAATACTTATTGTGCTATAGCTGGAACCTGAGCAATGCCATTTTATACAAGACAAAGCTGTTTTTCAGAAATAAGTTGTACCAACGGCCCCATTCTCCTCACAATAACTACTGGCCTTGGCTTCTGTAAATAAACCTGCTAGTTTGCTCTGCAAAGTGCTCACTATGTAAAGCTGCTTACCTTTTCTTATCAGTAACTGCCAGAATCCTTGGCCTTTGCTTACCAGTAATGACCAGAATAAGCAGCCCAAGCTAATTCCATCCTGGCTCCTACAACTTGTAATAAGTAACTAAAAATCTCTGGATCCCACCTCTGCCCAGACAATGTGTAAACTAATGCTTATCTTGACTTCTGTAAACCACTTAGGTAACAATCGAAGTGACAACAAGTCCCCTAGCCCTTGGAATGTCCGGAGACCTGCTCCCTCCTCTCTGCCCAGGAAGTGATTTACGGAATCCCCTGGCCCTCAGAATGTCTGAATCCCTTCACCCCCACCCCCGGAGGTGGTTTACAGGTATAAGAGTCTTGTCAACCTCCATTCAGGACCACAGGTTGGAGAGACATGAGTCCTCTGTGGCCGCCGGCAATAAAGACCCTGCAATTTGGCATACTTTTGTTTTGGTGTTGACTTTCTATACTCAGGCCAGTACAACACTTATTATTACTCAAACAAGTCACTTATTTCATGAAGCCTTTCCTAGCAATACCAGTCAACATATTCTGTTTCTCAAATGTTCTGTAACAGTCAGAAAGCATAAATACTGACTGGAATTGCTAGACACAGTTTCATGGGGCAGATTACTTGGATGGTAATCAGGTGTAAATATTACCATTATGAAATTCATGTCCTAAAACCCATTCCAATGGCTCCCAAATTATCTCTCCCTCCAATGTCTCAATTCACGACTTAGGGATACTATCTATTAGTATAGTAACAGGTTTTGGTTTTTTGGATGCAGAGCTTAATTCTGTTAAAAATAGAAACTTATGAAGAGCAGGGATCACACTACATCCCGTGCACACTAGAGTTCCCACCATGGACCACAGTGGATCATCAAGCCACCTTAATCAATTGAGAAACTCAAGCGTGTTGAATTTACAAAGAGAATACTGTGTTACTTAAAAAAACAAAAGTAGTACATGAGAGATTAAGTGGACCCTCAGAATAAGAGTTGAAACCTACTCTTTCTGATAGAAAAATGAGCCAGCATGGTGGCTCACGCCTGTAGTCCCAACTGCTCGGAAGGCTGAGGCAGGATTGATTGATCCTGCTCAGGTGCTGCCCTGGGCAATGTCATTCCCGCTGTGGGCAGCTCCATCAGAGCCTGCTCCAGGTTTCCCTCCACCTCAGTTTGTAAGGGGAAATGGCATTTGGATAGCAAGGCTTTCCTCTCCTTCTGTCTCTAGGATAAGAGCTGCCCCCAGGGAACAAGCCTGCTGCTCTCTCTTCCTGGCAAACTGTGCCCAAGCAAAGAAGCTTGCCCTTCCCAGGCACTGATGGGGCCTGGGTCATGTGTCTGAGTCGTGGGGGTTCAGTAAAAAACACAGAAATGTACAAGAAAAGAAAAGATGGTATATTTCACCAGGAACAGCTACAAACAAGGCTAAGATAAAATACACAATCATCTGACATAAACAGACAATTGTGATGGACAATGTTGTGTCCAACGATGGGCAATGGAGACTCAGGGGCCATGGGTCTGGGAAGGAGGTGGAAGATGAGAGGCTGCCTGGTGGGTACAACATATGTTGCTCCAGGGATGGAAGCACTGAAGGCCCTGACTTCACCACAGGCAATGCATCAATGTAGCAAAACTGCACTTATACCCCATGAATCTACACAAATGTTTTAAAATTTAAAAATTAAAAAAAAAAAATTCTCACCAGGTGTGGTGGCTCACACCTGTAATCCCAGCACTTTGGGAGGCCAAGACAGGCAGATCACGAGGTCAGGAGTTCGAAACCAGCCTGACCAACAACACAGCGAAACCCTGTCTCTACTAAAAATACAAAAAATTAGCCGGGCATGGTGGTGTGTACCTGTAATCCCAGCTACTCGGAAGGCTAAGTCAGGAGAATCACTTGCTCCCAGGACACGGAGGCTGCAGTAAGCCGAAATCATGCCACAGCACTCCTGCCTGGACTATAGAGTGAAACTCAGACTCAGAAAAAAAAAAAATTCTACCCCAAAAGCAGCAGATAGCATCTACATTACTACTAATGATCAAGCTGTTGACTGGTTTGCCTGTTTAGCCAGAAGGCACTGGATCTTGGAAAGCACAGAATAGTCTTCGGGAAGGTTCAAGACCAGCTATACCCCAAAACACATGGAGGCACATGGGCCCCATTCTCTAAATCATGTGTCTCCCACACACCCTCATCGAACACTGGAAATAGGATGAGCTGACAAGGACAAACTTACGTGCTCTTTCATCTTGTGAGCTACAGTTGTTGACATCATGATGCAGCAGAGGCCAACGACCAGAATGAAGTAGAGGGCGTACATGAAGCGGGTGCTCAGGGACTGCCGAATCCTGGGGCAGCAATCACAGCAGAGAGAGCAGCCTGCAGACCCACAGCAGCAGGCCAGCTAGAAAAGGAACACAAGACATCGCTCAGAGCACAATACTGCCATAGAGTAAGAAATATGGCCGCCACTGTGATACACACCTGGAGTCCCTGCTACTCAGGGGTGAGGGTGGGGGGAGGGGGCAGAGGATCGCTTGAGACTAGGGTTCAAGTTTAGCCTGGGCAACACAGCAAGTACCTGTCTCTAAATATATATATATTTATATATATAAATATGTTTACATATATATTTAGAGACAGGCTATATCTAATGTATATTTTACATACACACACACACACACACACACACATACACTTTTTGTTTTTTAAATAAGACCCAGTGCAGTGGTTCACATCTTTAATCCCAGCTTTGGGATTAAAGCTTGGGAGATCAAGGTGAGATTGCTAGAGGCCAGGAGTTTGAGATAGACCTGGGCAACATGGCAAGATCCCATCTCTTATAAAATATTTTTTCTTTCATTAGCCAGGGATGGTGGCACAAACCTGCAGTCCCAGCTATGTGGGATGCTAGCTCTAAGAAAAACACAACCAGGAAAAAAGAAAAACATCATATTAGGTTGGTGCAAAAGTAATTGTGGTTTTTGCCATTACTTTATATATATGTATGAAATTTGGTCTGGTATAAGAGCTTCTAAAACTTCTGGAATTTCCTGAGCAACAGAGATTAACATGAGAGTACTTCATTACTAATGCTCTTTTCAATCATACCAGAGTTTGTACTAATGAGGCAACTCTTCCTGGGTCTCTAGATAGCTTCAGGATAGGGGCTGCCTATCAGTGGAATCAACTATGTGGTTTAGAGGGTGTGAACTTGCAGGAGCACACACCTGGGCGGAGACTGAAGACTGAGCTAATTACCAATGGTCCATGATTTAATCATCCCCATGTACATAATAGTGCCTCCATAAAAACCCTAATCAATGGGATTCAGAGCTTCCAGTCTGGTGAACACATCCGTGTGCCAGGAGGGTGGTACACTCCAAATGCATGGGAACGACGCTCTCGCATTTGGGACCCTTCTGGACAACACCCTGTGTACCTCTTCATCTGGCTGTTCATTGCATTCTTTATAATAAACTGGTAGTCACCAGTAAAGAGTTTTCCTGAGTTCTGTGAGCCATTCTAGCCAATTCATGAACCTAAAGAGGGGGTTCTGGGAACCCCTGATTTATAGCTGGTCAGTCAGAAGTATGGAAGGCCTAAATTTGCAACTGGCATCTGAAATGGAAAAAGTCTTGTGGAACCGAGCCCTTAACCTGAGGGGTCTGTGCTAACTCTAGGTAGTTAGTGTCAGAATTGAATTAAATTGTGGGATGCCCAATTGGTGTCCTGTACTGAGCTGCATTCAACCAGGCCTTCTGCTGCTGGACCTTCCAAGCTACAATGACTATTCTTCCCAGGCACCTTGACCACAGGACATGCAGGAACAGTTCGGTGTGTGAACAAAGCTTTCCTCAGAATCATTCTGGTGCTATTTTTAATGACAGTAATCAATGGCTTGGGAGATGCCCAATCATTACACAGAAAAGGCACAGTTCATCTGAAGTATTATAATCATGACTCTTTAGACAAAAAGATTTCTGGAATCAGCTAAGAGCAAGAGAAGAAGTCAAAAACAAGTAAGTGAAATGGGAAGAACATGAAAAACAGAAAGTTGGGCCCAAGAATGTGAGGGAGAAGAAAAGGAAAAAATCAGTCAGGCAGACAGCTAAGGCTAGTCCTCGAGGAAAGCCTGAAAAATCACAGCTGCAGGTACAAATAGAGCTGCCGGGGGAAAAACCAAACTGTACCTGCACTGATAAGAAAGAAGGCCCCAACAGAGAAGGCTTTTGTTCTTTCATTGATGAGCAGGCTCCCTCCCAGGGAAAAGGTTCCTCCCCTTCTCAGGCATATATGTGCAGTGGGCTCCATGGGAACTTGCACAGTGAACAGAGGGGAGGCTTACCTAAAACAAACCTCGTTTGTAAAGTAGTTATACAAATGAGAAGCTGCACTTTGTGTTTACCCAAGACATGCCCAAGGCTGCGCAGATAAGCGGAGTTACACAGACAGCTTCACAGATAAGGGAAGTTACGCAAACAACTACAGAGATGAGGGGAGTTTCTCATACAGCAACCCACTCAGGTCCTCCTTTCCACTGCAGAGAGCTCTCTTCATTAACTCCAATTTCACCCCTATGTTCACATTAATCTTTTTTTTTGAAACAGAGTGTCACTCTTGTTGCCCAAGCTAGAGTGCAATGGCATGATCTTGGCTCACTGCAACCTCCACCTCCCAGGTTCAAGCAATTCTCCTGCCTCGACCTCCCAAGTAGCTTGGATTACAGGTGCACACTACCATGCCTGGCTAATTTTTGTATTTGTAGTAGAAACGGGGTCTCACCATGTTAGCCAGGCTGGTCTCAAACTCCTGACCTCAGGTGATCTGCCCACCTTGGCCTCCCAAAGTGCTGGGATTACAGGTGTGAGCCACCATGCCCAGCCTCACATTAACCCTTAATTTTCTTGGTCCTGAGACAACTGGCTTGGATAACACCTCAGGACAACAAGATCATCAACCCTAAACTATTTCAAAAGAGAACTGTCAAAATCCATGACCCTAGGGATGAATGTACAAGCACCTAGGGTGCTGGGATGGGAAAGGCTATGCCTGCAAGTCATTCACCCTTGTAGGAAATAATGAGAGTATGTAACTTGAAGCTCAAAAGAAATGAGCTTTTTACACTGCATTTCTACCAGAGCTTCATGCCCCAAATGGTAAGCTGTTTAGGTTAAGGAGTAGGATGTGGGCCCAGAGGAGCACGGAGCTCTTGCCATACCTCTAATAGCATACACATCTTTTCTTTGGAGAAAGTGGATTCACCAGGGCAATAGAGAATGGTAATTAAAAGCTCAGGCTCAAAGTCAGCTTGGCTGGGTTTGTGGCCTGGCTTTGCCACCTAATAGCTGTGGACCACAAGCAAGTTATTCACCCTTTAAAAACTCAAGACTCCTCGTTTATAAAGTGGGGGTGGTAGAAGTACTTATGCTATGTTCTCTTGGATAACCTAATCAGACGCACCTGGCTCCAGAAAGCAGTCTCTGTTAAGCAAGCGGGGGGGGGGGGGGGGGGGGGGGGGCTACAAGAGATGACCATAAACTGCAACTTACACTAAAATCTGTATGTATTAACACTGTATTTTATATAAAATCTAAAACCTAACAATTCAATCTCTTGATAATGATTTGGAAGGGAAGTTTGAGACTTTGCAAGGCTTCAAGACAAGCATCAATTAGAATGCTACACCATAAACATTACTTACAATGAGCTAAGATCACAGGCATCTGGGTAAGATAAGGTACTGTAATAATGGTATGACAGATCTTGGAATCACAGTCATTTATTTCCCTAGTTAAGCTCATCTACTTCATGAGACTGTCCTTGTTTGAGCCCTTTGTCATTCTGAACTGTTTTATCATTTCAAATTTTTCCTAACCAACTCTCTCCATCTTATGTCCAATTTTCCAAGCCAGCTTCCTCCAGAGTCTTCTTGACTCACAAAATTAAGCCACTGCTTTGTGAAAGAAAACATTCTACTTGGGCTGAGATAAGAGAACACACAAGTGATATCCTAACATTACGGCATGTGTGGGTGTTTTATGGGCCACTTTGCTTTACAATTCCTTCATTGATGTTCTCAATCTCTGCTTTTACTGACCTCTTTCCATTCACATGCCCAATGGCTTTTCTCTGCCTCCTGAACCCTTTCCCAACTGCCTCCTTCGCTGATTGTTGTTGCTGTCGTCCGAAAAAGAGACAGAGTTTCACTGTGTTACACTGGGCTCAAGTGTAACACAGTGAAACTCTGTCTCTTTAAACTCTATCTCAAACTCCTGGGCTCAAGTGATGCTCCTGCCTCAGCCTTAGCTGGGACTACAAGCACAGGACACCACGATACCATGCCCGGCTGGTGGCTAACTCTCTAAGTTACCATGTGGTCTTAGATAACCTCTCACTGTATTTCAAGTTCAAATGTGATCAACAAAATACTTACTCTATTTGGGAAAATAAGTATTTTGGAAATAGTTAATGCCTCCCACAATAAAACATTCCCACAGCTGAATAAATATTTAAACTTACTATTATCGCCACAGAGGGAAAAATGAACAGATATATACACACTGTGAGCCTAATTGAATTTAATCATCTAAAGACAGACAAACAGCAACAGCAGGAATGTGACTAAACGTAAAAAGAAAGCCCTATTGGTTTAACCCTATCCCATCATTAAAGTCATATCATTGTATGGATCTAATTTTCCAAATTTAATTTTTATTTTTACCCTATACAATGCTATAGTATTAAAAATATACATATGTACATATATTTGTATGTGTCTATATGTATATGTACCTATATACACACATTCCAAATATCAGAATGCACTAGCCTTTCTCTACTAGCCCAAAAGTGATTCTTCAAAGTAAACTAAGGCAATAATTAAGGGTACATCCACATTATGTTAAGCTACACATTGATATAGACGCCAGGTGGAAATTAAAAACAGCATCCATAAAACAAACATTTATGTTAGCATCTAGGGAATCTCACAACCCTGCTGTCTGACCACTTGTTTCTGGAGAAGCATAACTCTGAATAAAATGGCTTCACATCCAGCCCCTGCCACCTACAGGGGTAACACTGAGCACGTCACTCACTTCCAAAACTGGAAAAGTCAATTCCTGGCTGGAACTACTGGTACTTTCACAAGCTTGGAGAGAAGGGCCATGGTTTCATTACCCCGGGCTTCAAAAGGGCATACAGCTTTTACTGAACAAGTCGGTATATAAAAAACAAATAAATACAGAATGTACAACATCAAGAAGGAACACTAATATAAAACATGGACTTTAGTGGTAGTGATCTGTCAATGCAGGTTCATTGATTCTAACAAAGGTACCCCTCTGGTGGGAGGTGCTGATAATGGGGTAGGCCATGCCAGTTGGGAGGGGTAGCATATGG